ACTGTTGTCAATAAAGAACGTTTGATCAAAAACGAAGAATACTAAACAACCCACTTGGAGGTTATGTAGCTACATGTTTACAAGATAGCCAGATGTTTAAAATTACTGTGCACCGTACAAAATAAATCACAGAACGAGGCAATACAGAAACACAATGCACTACCTACTGCTAGCTCCTCATTTTAATAAACAGCAGTCAGCACAGAAAGGAATATGTGTGCCAAGAGGGTCTTGACCTCACAGTCCAGCAAAGGAGTAAATCACTTTATCTATGAGGTTTTTCAATTGTGTTGCGAGAGTCTGGAATGTGTGACACTGTACATTTGTTCAATACTAGGGATCACAACTGGTTAGGTGCCTTTAAAAAGGACTGGGAGCAACCTCAGTTAAAGAAACACTGTCGACCCCAGTCCATTACATATGCAAACCTTCTGTTTGTGATCGTTGCTTAGATGTCCCCTCCCCACAAGCAACATACAGGCAGCTCAGATTTTCTTTGGCTTGCGGCCCAGTTGGTAGTAGTAAACCATGGTCACTGCAAGGAAGAGCACTCGACTGAGCAGCAGAAAAACAGAAGCAACTGGCAGGATTCCAATCTCCAACAAAGTGAAGGTGGTCACTGAAATGATAATGAAAAAATAAAAATAAATTACTAAACAATCTGAGGGTTTAAAGCATTTCTTATTCACCAACGGGACTAAAACTAACAATTATTTCATAGTTGATGAATTAGCAATTTTTAGCTAATGTATCACTCGGATTATCAAACTGTTTAGCAATCCTAAAAATGGCGATATCTAAAATCTTTTTTTTTTTTTAAGATTAAAGGTTTTTGTTATCAAAAATAGTGTAGGGACAAAAATAAAAAATACAAATAAAAATAGATAAATACACGTGTGTTCCTGAATTTCTTGCTTCATTCACTTTGGTTCCCAAGTGATCAATGTCCATTATTGTGTGAAATATTGTCAGCAAATTTTGTGTCACATGACTAATCAAGTACAGCCACAAACTGTTGTCTAACTTTTTTGGGAAATTTTTTTAACACATTGACAAAGTAAAAATCTCACTTATGTTATTGTCCATTGCCCTAAGCTCCATTAAACACACCTTAAAACTTGGTGTTTCATCTTTTCTTTTTAAAGAGGTCTGTGCAGATGTGACAGCTACAGAAGGATGGTCGATATTTTGTTGGGCGTAGAATGCTATACTATCTACCTACCAGAGGAGGGCAGTGTCAACACATAATGTTTTTTTCTAGGTCACTGAAACATTCCTAACCCCTTTCCAACTCAGGTCACCTTGCGAGAAAGAACATCTCTGATGTTTAGATTTTGAACGCTTAAAGATTGAACTAGAGAGAATAGAAACATGTTTTAGAAATGTGCATTCACCTAGAAACTGGATAGCAAAGTAGCAGGCTTCACTGAGCAGAGTCCACTGGATGATGATCTTCTCTACTGTGTACAGACCATTCCACATGATGAGGGCCAGGCCTGGAGGAGATAAAAAGAAATGTATTGGCTGTGAAGAACGAGAATAAATGGACATTGCACCGTAAGACCATTTCTATACATTCTACAATACAATACAATACAGTACTTCTGCCTTCACGTCTGCTATGAGCACAATTTGCTGGGAGCAACACTGAACCGTTTGTGACAGAGACAGGATGATTATTGGCCCATTGATCATGCTGTAATTTCCAGTATTATTGATCGTGATAACATTTCGTTTTAAATCATTTCCTTGACATTCTTTCAGATCCCTGTGTTTCTCTCCACCCCCACACACAAGTGAGGCTGTGGAGAAGCAGAGGGTGGGCAGAAAGGTAGGAGTGCTGATAGACTGCATCCCCTCCCTGCCAGGTTCCATCTGTGTGGCAGATGAGGGCCCATCCATCGCCCTTTTACTGCCTATCGTCTCAGTAGACGTCACATTTTTTACCTCCTAATCCCCACGGTCCTGCTGACATTTAAATGAAGAAGCCATTCTATTGACTTTGTAAGGTTGTTTCACAGTTTTCTCTACAGTGCACTGTGTGCTCTTTATGATGTAATCACTGAGGAGGCAAAATGTATTTTGTTTAGATTGCATGTCAAGATTTGCAGTAATACAGTATTATTCTTTGTGTTAGTCAAAAGTGTGGCTCTACTCCTCTGTATTCAACTGGTGTCCTGTGAGAAGGACGGAGAACAAAATAAACAGGGTACATTTTTTTTGTGTAGCTCGGACTTGTGTATCTGATGTACACTGGTGTCTCTGGAATTGTACCCACAAAAATCTGAAAAATGTCAATTGTAATCATGCTACTCATTTATACCTATATGGAAATTATACAATTAACAGCAAAATAAGATAAATCTTTTAATTCTTAAGGTTTTTTCTTCCTACTGTAAATATAACTTACTTACTGTACCTTAAAGTGTGTGTCTCCACCTAATGGACTACAGTGCGTTAATAAACAACGTCTGAGGTTATTAAAACTCATGAGTTTAATGCCTCTTAGGTTTAAGTGGTAAACTCATGTCATGCCTCAATGAGCTTGGCCTAACAGCAGCATCATGTCATCTCTCAAACTACCGTAAACAGACTTTAAAAGCAGGAGAGAAAATTACAAGGTTACAAGTAAATAATGAAAAGTCTGTAAAATGTCCCTTGTTAGCCGTCTTTCTTTTCTTTTCCTTGCGACGTGCCTCTCACATATTACTGTGTTCAGCTGCAGCCATCACAAGCCATATCATCAGTGAGTCAGTGTGTCACTGCCTCACTGACTGCCCTGACATTCTTGTCTAAAGCGTAAGAGCATCAAAGTACTGACATCTACAACCCATCTGCAGTGAAATGTAGCAAATGCCAGGATTAACTGGCAGATCCATAAGTACCAAATGTCTCCCATGGTTGTCATGGCAAAATGTATCTGAAAACTCAATTTAAACAGGCGGCTATGCACGCGGCTGCAAAATATGAATGGAGAATAACATAATGCCTCTTCTAAGATTACAACTCCCACATGTATACTGCACACACATGCAGTGGACACAGTGTTCTGCCATGTCCTACTGGGTCCCTGAAGAATTGGACCAAAATGATGCACAGGCACAGAATGAATGAATGTGAACATTCACATGTGGTTAGCAGTTATTTAACAAGTAATACTGTGTAGGTGCTTCATTATAATCAGTATAATGACTGCAGTGCAGCTGCGCATGAGGAAGCAGGAATAACTGAATGAATTTACCCCCCCGTCTTCCCCAAACACAAGCTTTCCTACTCCTCTGAAGCGAGGACTTACTGAGTAATGCTCCTCCATAAAGGCGCACAGAGATGCTGGTCGTGGTGAGCTCCTCCTCAAAAACAACTTCATATAGTTGGTTGGGAAATATCAAAGCCTGAAGAAAGAAGAAGCAACACACAATTCTGTCTGATCAGAACAACAGCATTCTGTCTGCATCCCATAATAACCCCAAAGTGTAGCAGTAGCATTGACAAAGCCTTCCTGTTTTGGAGTCAGAGCTACAGTATATGCTGTGAACATAGACAATATTTGTTCTTCATTGGAAGACTGCAGCAACACTTACCAAGAGGGCCATGGCCGTGAAACCCACTGCTGAGAAGAGTATCCACACCCTAATGAGAAAGACAAGACATGACCTGCTGTATCCATCCCACCAATATTGATCAGTCTTATTGACTGAAGTCTTGTTTTCTCCGTATTTACAAGATGTTGATCACAGTCTGCCGTGTGAACTGCCCTGAGCAGCTGAACTCCTACCTCAACCCAATAGGTTCTCGCACTGCAAACTTCAACTCATTTCCAAGCATTTGGCTGATCTGCAAGCACAAATAAGAAAAAGAGAAATTAGTTAGAACAAAAGAATTCAAATTTACAACTGCGTCTGATGAAATCAAGTACTGTACCGTATGTACAAAGTCCATTCAGGGCAGGATGTCACCTCAGTTCTTTTAAGGAATATTGCTTTACCTTGATTAACTGGATTGTTTGTTATTAATCCACAGCTACACTGTAGCTCAACACAATATTTTCTTTATCGTATGACAACCATAACATCCTCCATTCTGAAAAGTTTCAACAACAAGGATAAAGATGCGTCCAGACATTACATATACAAAGAAACAATGTGTTTGAATGCAACATGTCAACTGAACAAGAGAAAGAACAAAGTCCAGAAGTTTCATCTCTTACTTAAGAGGCTTTGCAGATTTCTAAAGTATTTAATACTGGATCTCTCTCTGTAAAAGGACCAGATGGCAATCACACAATGTATTGTCTGTGCTATTAGGGTTGAAGATGTGTCGAAACACCTAAAGTTTTTATACAAAAAAAATCATATGGAGGCATAAATGAACGGAGTAAACTGACCAAGATATTTACTGGACACAGTTAATAAAAACCTACTCAATCTTCCACGGAGATTAAGTGAGTATTCATTAAAACATCTTGCAGTGAACTCTGAACGATGATGATGAACTAATAAGCTGACATTAGAAACAGTTACAGTACAAATGAACGTAAACTTGATTAAAGGAACGACCGGATAATAAAAATGTGAGCGAATGTGAATGTGCTTAACCTTACAAATGAAATATGTGCAGGGATTACATACAACATGTGCTTTACCTTACAAATGAAATATGTGCAGGGATTAGCAGAGTTTATTCAGATACAGGAATGCTCTAAACACTCAAAAACAGGATTCTCCAGCTAGGCTACAATGTGAGGTGCCTCTCAAAACCAACCTGAAATATCTATGCAAATATACAGTGTTGTAACATTTTGGGTTTCAATTATCTGATAGAATTTGCACAGCATCAAACTCATTTTAAAACAAATATTATTTTTTAATAAATCACTGAGAAAACATGGCATAGTTCAGCTAAAACATGTCACTTTTAATCTTCTGATTGTTTATTTATCTAGTTTTCTTTTTTTGCAGCTGGTTGCCTGAAAAATCTGAACTGCCGGATACACTGAGCAGTAGCTGGAGGTCTGTACTTAACACTAAAGAAAACCACAACAGCAATCTAGAGATCAATTCGTCTTCAGCACAGAATACAACTGAGGCAAAATCAAGTAGGACAAGTGCACTAATAATTACTAATAAAAGAAAATACTAGGACTAGCCTCAAAAAAGAGCAGTAAACGTGTCATGTTGACAAAAGAAGATATTATTAAAAGAGAATCCGCATGTTGCTGGTGATTCTAGGTTTGACATTCAGATGTAGATTTCATTCAAAGACAAAAAGGCAAACACACTGTCACAGTCAAACAAAAAAAATCATGAACTGACAGTTACCCACAGAGAAATGGTGGCTCTGAATAGAGTCACAGCTGTGGCTTTCATGGGGGAATAAAAGTCAGAATATATCGTGTTATCATGTTCTATGGTTAGTCTTATCAGTAACAGTGGCCCTGAAGAAAAGATGGAAATCAGACGGGTATTTCGGGGTAAAAATAATAGCCTGTCAGCATGGTATTTAGATCTTTATATGCAGTACAGCACAGCCAGAAAAGACAGACATTAGACAGTATGGAATTAAATTGTTTTTAATACTTTATTTTAACCTCAGAGGAATCATGGGCCTTTTTTAGAAATGGTATTTGGCTGCAGTACCAAAGTTAACCAGGTGAGGCTGGCTCCCAAAAAATGAAAAGCTCTCATTGAAATTCAATGGCATCCCTTTAATCACCATTCTGTGCAATAAATTGATTTCATATACAATACAAGAGTGAAAACACTTCCAGGTATTTGAATGCATTTAAATAAATTAGTGATAAAATAAAATACTTGGTAACATTCACATCTTTAGAAACAGGTAAGACTCACTGCTAAATGTACAAATAACTTATTGAAATATATATTAAATCTCACATTCCACCATTAGACTGGTTGGGCAATCATTTATGTATTTTTATAATGTGTATCATTACCTTAAAAAATAAGCTATAATCATTTCCATTATCACTATATTTGTAATGTTTTAGATTTTCTTTGACCGTGTGAAAAGTGAGAACAAGTACAAAGCAAAGAGCCCACCACGTACCGGTCATTGTAACATCTTTTGGAGCGATCAAGCTAAATCACTGAGACAAGGCTACAGGAGGTGGATGAAAATGGGGTTTTCAAAAAGGAGAAAAACAACGCAGACAACAAGGCGCAGGTGAGGCAGATGGAAGTGGATGAAGAATTGTCTCTTGTTGCTCTGGCAGCAGATGAGTCCAGACATAAGGGTGCTGACTGACTCATCAACAAGGCTGGGTTAGTGATAAGAAGGACTATATATCAGGTAGATCGTGCTCAGGGTTCTTAATTTTCCTCTCACAAATCTATATGTCGAATGTCTACATTTGAGATCTCTGATGGAGCTCTATTTATAACAATAAACCTGTCCTCTGTTGTGTCCTTATCACTGACTGCTTTAAAATGTATATTTAAAGCAGTCAGTGATGAGGAGCGGCTTTATGAAGTGGAACACGGTAGAAATTGGTCACAAATGATGATAGGCTGTGAAATAATGTTAATGAATACAAATGCAAAGGAGTAGTGTGGAAATAGTTAAGTGTAAATATATATACGAAAGCTGATTTTTTATCAGGAAAACTCACTACACTGTACCGCTCAAAAAATATACATTTTTGATGATTATGATAATCTGACATTTTCCCTGTGAAATTAAAATTTGGACCCACATGCAATATTAAAGCTTAATATCAATACTACAGTGGCACTTTGGCCCAGAGGCCTCCTGGGCAAGATCAAATCCCAGTTATGGCTGTTGGGAACTTCCAGTGGACTCACCACCTGCAGGAAGGTTCAGGGGCGTTAGTACAGTGCAGTGTGATTTGGGTGGTGGTCATGGAGACTACTGCCCCGTGACCCGGTAACGGATAAGTGGATGAAAATGGACGGATGGATGGATCAATACTACAAGTCGGAGCAGAACGATATTGACTTGGTTTGATTGTTTTGTAAAACAGCTTATGTATATCTACATTAATACATACATAATTATATATTTATGAAAATTCTCTTTTTATGAAAATATTTTGATTTTAAATCCACCAATTAAATGCTATTAAAATAATTTTAATTATTGTTTTTAGTCAACCAAGTTTATCCAGTCTACTGTCATTGTGAAGCAAACAGCTGACTGATGTCATGATGTCTGAGGCTTTTTATAGGCAGGAACATGCACGTATGCACGACTGACGAGAACATTCCCTTGTTTGAATTTGCTTTTAGCAAATTCAAATATGGGAAAAGGACTGATGTGGAGCAGAATAGAGAGGGAGGCAGAAAGGGGCAAAGGGAGGAAACAGGAAAAGGAAGATATATACAGGGCTCTTTGCAAAGGGGGAAAAAGAGGGATCGAAAACGTACTTCATTACAGCTGCATACTGTGCCCTGGATTTGTCATCAATTACTCATTCTGCTAAGTTCAGTAAACAAAGTCCGACTTTTCAGCCAGGTGGCTGGATAAGTTTTATGTGAAAGAAAACAGTCATGGTCTATCAAAATTAAGTTTATCCTTTGAGTATGGGAAGTTTGTTTCTTTATAATGTGGCACAGGATTTGGAAACAAAGTAACTAATGCCTCAGTGGTAATACCTCTGGAGTAACAAAAAAATCCATAAGACATTGATGTACGTCCTATTTATGAATTTTCAACTTGGCCTCAGTACTTTAGGACCAACCAGTGTGTTGAACCTGCGATCAGGATGACCTCAGACAATAACTGTAGTACAGTACAGTAGCACAGGGTCTCTCTCTTTCTTTCTCTCTCTCACTAAAGTAATAAGAATAGTCTTCTTATCTCTGAGCAGTAAAAGATGCAGGAAATGAACAGTCAGTGGAGCAGAGCAGCACTTCCCTCCTTTGTTTACAGGTGCCACAGGAATAATGTCCACTGTTCCTTCCACAAACCAACTCTGACCATGCAACTTGACATCACTCCTAGGTTTCAGCAATTTCTTCTCTAAAAATACTTGTGTTTGGATGGTCATTTAGAACACATTCACCATTTAAAAGCAGAAGTTTATGTGTATTATGTGATTATGTGTAATAAAATGTATATACAATCTGTCCTAACCAACTATAGGCTGTCCAATCCAATATTTAAGCCTAAGTGCTAAACATAACTTTACAACAGGGACACAATCACCTCAGCAAAAGCAGCCAGCCATAGTGGCACAATATACAGAAACTATATTGTCATATTTAGAATTATGATAAATAAATAATAAATAATGAATAATTATGAATAATTCAGTCACCCTGTGTTTGATCAGATAAAATATATGAATAATTTGACAGCAACATGTACAATAAATAGCCCAAATACTGTAGTGCAGGCATGAGTGTAATGTAATTAAGCATTTCTCTATCTTCATTGGAACCTGTCTGTTTCTGTCTCCATCAGAAGGCTCTCTGTGAGAGATCAAAATGGCAGATGTCTGGGTGAAGCTTCTTGCTAAAACATTACGAGAGAAAACAAACACTCTGGGAGCCTGAGAAAAGGGGCTGACATCTCATCACAGACTCTGAGCCACCGACGTATGCCTGTTCCCTTCTGTTCTGTTGGCTTCCCAGCTCCCACTTGCCTGATTAATATTTCAGTGAGAATCAGTTCGCTTTATTTCATCCCTAACACTGTCATTTCCAGACCAAAAAAGGGAAAATAATCTACACAATTTGGATATGTGAGCCATCTGGAACAGAACAAAGACATTGACACTCTACAGATTTGCTGATTGACATGCGTGACTATCTCATGACATTTTGACATTGTCCAACATGCACACTGTGCTGCGTTGGCATTTGAGACTGTTGAACGTCTCTCTGAATGTGAAGATGTACATGTAGAGTTACAAGAGATGCAAATGGAGAGTCTCCCAGTGGAGCCAGCAACATTTCAGTGATTTCATGCGAGACGTTTTCACTGGCATACACACAGCATGTGCACACATGTGCAATAGGACATTATGAGTGATGAACCAATTAGCAGCCCAGAGCGCCTTTTTAAAGTAACCCATAGCTCTTCTGGGGTTAATGACTGCATCTGTGGTTGAGTGCTGCCTTGTTGTTTTTTTTTGGGGGGGGGGGGTTTCCCTGCAGTATGGGTTTTCATTGAATTCGAATAACAAGGTGCTTATATTTAGAACTTCCAGTCAAACTATATCTGGTGAATGCATCTACATTGGTTTGGCATTGAACTTCAAAATGCATTTAAGATTTTGTTATTGAGTAGTCTAACCTTTGATCGGTGGACTTCCCCATCATCGTCCTCTCCACCGACTCCCAGGATTTTCCGACTCTTCAGACGGCTTATCAAGTCTGTCTGACTGTGCTTCTTCATTAGAGGAGGGTGAGGTTTTGACACCATGGTGTGATCACCTGAGAGAGCAGCAGAGACAAGAAGTAAAGGGTTAGGAGTGTAAAATCATTCAAGATGATAAGAGACAAACCTCTGGGTTACTAAATGTTTATCATCATCATCATTTACATATCACTGGTTTAGTCGAACAACCCAGAAGTCTTAGGGAGTCCAGGAGATACAGGTGTAACAACAACAGAAATAAGCTGCCTGTGTTGTCAATATAGATTACATGGGGCTATATAGTAACTTTCTCACATATTATTTGAGTTTAATATAAGCAACATGACAAACTAGTTCACTTTTATCTTGTAATGATATATAGTGTATACTGTTGTTCAGCAAAACTCCTTCTGATTACATTTTTTTAATTAAACAGTACTTAAATACCTTTATATTTCTTACAAACATCATTAAAAGCTAGAACTGAAATGAAATAGACTTTGTAAATGCTCTCTGTAGCCAACCACCACTCTGTTTCGGAAGAAGAACATTTGATTCGACCTAGGAGTTGTTGTGGTAACACGCTTTCATGAACAATAGTGTCATTTAAAATTATCAACATATAAACAAGAAGACCGAAACAAAAATCAGCCCTTGTGATGACGTTATTACACTTGACCTCTTGTGCTGATTTTTGCTTTCCCCTCAATTAACAGCTTTGTCCGACTCAATATAATGATTCTCTGGATGAGGAAAACAACAGCAGTCATTAAACCTCCCTATCCTCCTAAGTATGAGGTCAGAATTCCTCAGAGGAAATAACAATCAGTGCACCCAGAAAACAACACAATGTGGTCAATAACACAAAACAAATGACAAGTGCATCACAAAACAAAAATCCTAATGGTACAAAATGTAAAAAATCAGCTTTCGTATATATATTTACACTTAACTATTTCCACACTACATTTCAGTTAGTCTTCCATCATAAAAATGGTTTCTATGCTGACCTGAATTTTTCTTCTCCTTGTGTGCTCTATGGTGATCCCACCTGTGATTATTACACTCTAATAAAAGCGCTGGTTAATCACGTCTCATTTCAAAATGCACTTGAATGTCTCTGCCTTTCCTCACCAGTGTTTCTTGACATGTCAGTAAAACTGGTGCAGTTGCTTAGCAACCCCCAATGGACCAATGGCTTCTTCATCATTGGAAGCAAAGAACCTTTCATGATTGACCACCTTTGAGAATGAGGGCTTTCCTGTGGGCAACAGCTACTTTGTTGTTCTTCTCCTAACTGCCTTGGGTGACAAATTAGGATACCTTTGGTCCTTAATCAGTGAGCTGGATTAGAGACTTAACTTCTCAAATCGTAACCTCTTGTCAAAATAGTATTTCAATAGTCAGTGACAAAGGACTACGTCACTTGCTTGCCAGAAGTGCAAGGTATCTCCTTAGCATTTGGCTATTTTTTCCTTCTACTTTTTGCAACAATTTCCAGCCCTTAGTTCCTGTGTAATTTTGACAAACAAGTTGTATTTTGGTTGACGTTTGCGGTCATTGTCTGGCTGTACAAACCGGGTTCTGCTAGTTGTGTGTAGATGCCACTGCAAGAAAGTGAGCATCTGTCTTTTATTTTCCACAGTAGGTTTCCCTAGCCAACCACTGTGTCCGAGGTTGTCAACATTGACATTTTTGTGTTTATTCAAAGGACCTTGAAGAGTACATCTTAAAACAGTCTGTTTTCAGATCTTTGCCTGGGAGAGACTTCACTGACGGTGTCTCTAGAGATCATAGGCATTTCCTGTTATTTTACAATCAAATACCTAACTGCACTGGTAAAAAAAGGATTTTCAAGATTTTTAAATTACAATGATTAAATGTATTAAATATTGAGTTACTTTTTTATTATTTCACATTGTTACATTTAAGGATTTAGATAAATGGACGGACTGACAGACAGAGAGACAGAGTGAGATAAGGCGAGAAAGACTTCACTAATTAAATTCCTGTTTTGTTTTCTGTGTGCTTTCTACTGACAAGGATTTTGATCACACAGGACGTTAGGTTCAGCAAAACAATTAAAAAAAGGTGATATTAATTTCCACAGTTCTCTATGTAGATAAGTTATATTTGAATTTTTGAAATTTTAATGAATGAGTGAGATAACTGATATACTCGAAGAGAACACGCACATGAGGTCTGAGACTCACCACACACACCGTGTTGTATCTATTGTATTTTTTTCCTACGTTATATATTGCAATATCTCATTGCACATATCGGGCAATTTAACAAGATTATGGTAATTACTGAAACAAAAAATATATACAAAATCTATATGCAATGTAAATGTTTTAAGGGGCCGTGTGTTTAAAACACAGAATTGGATAGAACATATATAGAGTTCGACAATGGTAACAAATTGAATGTGTACAACAACTTGAGGTTGTTTTTACTATTTCAATGTAATGTGTGTCTAGGTTTTTTCTGTGCTCTTTTTGTGAAGCATCAAGACAAACGTTTTTCCTTTTATCACTCAAACAAGATACCAAAAAAAACATTAAGTAGCTAATGAGACAAATTTAAAAGGCACCAAATATCCCCTTGGTTTCTAATGCAGAAAACACATGCTCTGCAAATAAAAAGGCTGCATGACATAGGTGAACGATACTGTGAGAAAAAGAGGTGAGAACTCAGTCAGAAATATTTGTTTATATTCCATAAAGATGCAAAAAGAATGAGAGGAAAAGAATCATCGTGGAGACAAAGCCATGAGTGGGTGTGGAGAATCAAATGTGTTAAAAAACAGCACTTCACAGCCCATTCCTTCTTCTATGTTTCTATCCATAAATAAAAAAAGACAAACAGTAGCTGCACAGTCAACAGCTCATATTGTTTGGATAATTCAGCAGGTCAGGTCATAGATTAACAATGAAGCAAAAGCTATTTAATCACTACCCTTTACAAAAATGTAGGGATTCATTACGTAATAATTCATTTTTAATTATAAGTGTTTCTTAATTCCCTAATAAATCTGGGTGCTAGTTGTTGAAAACAGGTCAGGAAAATGAGTGACAGGTAACCTAATTTTCTATAATGCATTAAATAATAATTAAATGATATGAATGCCCATACTCCTAAAAGCAAAACTTTCTCTGTCTTTTGCCTGGTATTTACTTCACATTAGAGATGAGAACTGTATGTCCAGTAGGACGACACATTTGACACATTAGGTTATCTGTTTTCCAGTGCAGCTCAGTTGACAAAGAACAGTGATAAAAACCCAGTGACAGTGTTGACATGTTGGGCTGCAAGAATTCCTTTAAATCAACCTTAAAGAAAAGTAATACTGCATTATTCATGATTTCAAGGAACGTACAATTAAGGTTTTGTGGTGGTAGAGGAAAAAAACAGGGGAACCGGATGGACATCGTAGAAAGCAGTCCTTGTCAAAGCGGGCAATAGACAAAAGATGATTGAGACAGCAGTGAAATTCTCTCTCGAATCACAACAGGCAACCAATACAAGTCACTAACAGAGTATTTCATACAAGACACAAAATATATTCATGTGCAGACAGACTATAGAGAACTGCTTCTCACTGATCATCAATGGATTACAACACTGAGACAAACATATTACCAACTGTTCAATAATGTACCTGTTTGATGCTCATTTATTACATCACTGAACCGTGGCAAACATGCTTATTATTTACTGCACGATTTTGTGTGCATATTAACACATTTGTGTCTGCACTGGTCTAGAAATCGTTTTTACTTACATTACAGGAAGTTATATGTAGTGAGATATTAACGACTATTGCTATAACAACAAAACACTGCAGAACACTCGATAGAATGAAGACTTCCGAACAATTTAACAAGCACTCTACACTCTCTCGCTGTTCACAAACATGATGATATTCTCACTTGTCCAGATGTCTTCTGACAGTATTACCTGTTTCCTACTCACATTTGCTGTTGAGTCTATAAACAGTTGATTTGAAAATGTCAAGCATATTTCATTGACTGCAACTAAGATCAGTTCAGGTTTGTTGCAACTCTTTGCAGATATGCATCTTTACTCCTCATGCACCAAGAAATGGTTTTGTTCTTACTTGCTGTGCCTATTGTTCCAGGTGCAGACAAGTGGAGACTGCCAAATAGAAAATAGATGTCAAAATCAAAATCTTGTGTTTACAGGGTGCGATAAAAAAGTGCTAAGTGTCAAGTAAAATTAAACTCAATAGACAAAAAGAAGAGGGATTTCACAGCATAATAAAATACTGAGTGATATTATTCATACACTGATTATCAACAATATCTGTAAAGCCATTTTAATACCACAGGTGCACAATGAGGCAGCACAAACATGTTGATAAAAGCCGATTCTTAACACATACAAAGCTAGAAAGTGAATTATTTCCTCTAAGGAATAATGTTATCACTGTTCAGAGGGGACTCTAAACACACAGAGAACAAGAGAGAACCCTGAAGCCTGTGACCTAACCATACACTCCAACAAAGCCAGCTGGGCTGTAGTCGTGTGAAAGAGAGCTAACCAGTAATTACTTCTACTTATATAATTATTAGCAACTTGTGCATTTGTCCTTCTCTGTAATCATATATAATCAGGGCCTCAGGATGATAGTGATTCAGTTATCAATTAAAATCTGTAGTGTGTTGTTCAGGATAGCACCACACTACTCGTGTTTACCTCTTGTGATGCAACTATAGCTGAAGACATTAATGCAACATTTTTACAAGTCAATGTTTTGTGTGTATGTTTTGTAAGTTTGTAAGACATTATGTTTAATTACAGATGCAGATGTATGAAGAGGAAGACAGATGAGGACAATATGGTGTCGTAACACACAGATGAGAGAAATATTCAGCCATTAAATAGGAACACTGCAGGAAATATTACACTTCTTCGTATGGACAAAGCAAAGAAGACATCTCATCTTTCCTAATGATCTAACCACCAGCTGAATAATATTCTTACTCAAGGTCAAGTGTCATGAGTGAACACCCGACAACAAAAACTACAAGGGAAATAAAACTGTCCTAATAAGTACGTACTATGATAGACATATATCACCCAAAATTAGGAAATCACTGTTATAATTGAAATTAAAAGACTAGGTTTGGTTTATAAATCTGACAATGACTTGCAGGTTTTACTATTTTTACTATTAGAACAAAGCACTGGCACAAATAACTCAGCTAAGGAGCCTGTGTCAGTGATTAGTATTACACCAATATTGTCAGTGACAGGGTACTATTGGACAGTAAAGACTAACTTTGGAGATATCAACAGCAACAAAATGGATGGATAATCAGAAAAAAATGTTTTATTATTTATCTGTCTGTTTCTGTCTGTTTTTTCATGCCAAACATTTTATACATCAAAATTCATAACAAAGGAATTTTGATATGGTAGAAATTAAGGCCATCTTTCTAACATTTGTTTGGAGCACTCTGTTTCTCTTATTATGAAAGTGAGACTGATGATCTGTAATTGCTATAATTAGAGCAAACATGTTTCAATGTTAGAAGGCAGAGCACAAGCCTGAGAAAATGTTCCCTTTCCCCATGTCGGTGAGTAAGCGTTGAAACCACTGAAACCCTTTCTTACGGCCCGAGGACTGAGAATAGCACCAGAGCTAACTCAAAATACCAGTCCTTTGCTCATTTTAAATCAAACAAGCCAAAGTTTAAAATATATATTTTTTGGGGGGGGTTCATTACAAGAACATAAATGCCAAAAACACAACATATAAACAATCTTGGAGGGGGGTCCGTTTGTATGTTTATTTCAAGCTTTCAACTTGGACACTCACTGAGCCACCTGGTTGCTAGGCAGCCGAGTGACGAAAACTGCTCATTTGAGGATCAATCTGCGTCACTGAGGAGTTCTTCACATGGAAATAATTGCTAGATAAAGGTCAAAACAGCTTCTTGAAATATCCATCATGTTGCCATTTATTTTGACATTAAATGTTTGCATTCTATCATCGCCATCTCACATCCTCCCATCATAAAAGAGCTCATCAAATAATCCTGTTGTCATTATTCCAAGAAAAATGGTGAAAATGGATTCACGTGTCAATAAAGACAACTCTAAGGGCTACAAAGTTCAAATGAGCCAACAAGAAGATGTAACAGTTCAGCCAGTACCTCCTGTATCGTAAGTGTGCAGGTGTCAATGTGCTTTTTTAAGAACACAGAGCTATTATCGTTCAATGTGAAAGTAGAAAGGTGAACGTTAAGGTGACCTTTTTGTTCACCTTTCACTACAGATTATTAAACAAAACACAGGAGCAGAAACATCTGTAACTGTGCTACATTTTTTTGCCTTTACATATTTTACAAAGTAGTAATAACTTCATCATGTATCAGGGTTGTCAACTGTAGTTGTTCTGCTTCAAAATATTAGCATCTAAAACAATTACCATTACAGCTTGCATGGGGCGTCTTTACCATACAGAAATGCATTTATATTTAATTATCTTTGGAAAAATAACTTTTGAGTTTTTTGTTTTTTGTGAGGTCTTTTTTATTTCTACACCTCTTCTTCTCTACTTCCTGTTACCAACCCTGATTTTACAAGGATCCATCTGCTGGTCACATCTGGTAACAAAGTCAAACATCACTTATGAGGAATGACTTTTTATAAGCTTTTGCACTTACTGTTCTTTACGTTTCCGTAAATTAATTCCGGCTAAGTGTCAGTGTGCTGTTTGAAACAAGTAAAAAAAAACAAAAATAAGTAAGCAATATTTGTAAATTGTTCAACAGTGGACATGTAATGTGACCTAGAATTAGTTTCAGAGTAAAAGGCCTGCAAAAAATCTATACCTGTATCTGTTAATATCAGAATCAGAATTAAAGCGCAGGATAATATTGAAATATTGGCTAAAGGTTAGTGGGCAGCAAGCAAAAATATAAAAGAATGATAGTAGTTCAGTTGCATTATGTTGGATAAACTTTTATATATTTCTTTTTTTTTTGGAAGGGTGGTTCTTTAAAACTCGTGATCACAAAATATCTTACATTTACAAGGCTTTGGTGGCACAGCTATCTGCCCAGGAGCACTGTTTAGCTCACTTACTATCAAACAACAAACAGCACTGTCCTGCTTCACTGATGGGTAAAGAGGAGAAAACTGTTGAGCAGGAGTATGACTGCTCTCCTCTGGAGATTGCGGCGACTCCTTCAAACCGTGTGAAGCCTCCATGAAAAGCACTTTTAAATTGAAACGTTCATGAAGAAAAGCCACAGGAGCAGTAGTAAAGATCTTCATAGACATAGTCATAAAGAATTGAACACAATCTCGGTTTTATGAAAGTTTACTATGTGGACCACACCTTGAGGATATATTTCCTGAGTATTATGTTTGTTTATGTGCATTTGAACAAAGCCTTTACTGATGACAGGTCATCATTTCCCTAAACACAAGTAATACCTTAGGACGCCTGTACAGTATTATCCTAGAATAGATGTTTTTTTTGTGACGCAACTTACAATCAATCAGGTGGTTCCATTCATTAGGGACGACCCTCCATGATTTGTCGCAGTGTGATGATCATTTATCTTCAGATGTGCCAGAGCTGCCCTCATCAATGTGAAGGCCTACCCAGCTTGCTAATCAGGTTTTACAGAGCACCACAAATGCCATGAGGGCTCAGCTGAGTTTACACAGAAACAAATAAGAGAATCAACTCCAGCCAGCAGCCAGTGACACCACAGGATGGTTGGTGATTCTAAGTCTAATAAGGCAGACATCTAATTAAAAGAAGGTTGTGTTTGTCTCCTGGGCATATTAGCCTAACCTACTGACATGGCAAGTGTCCATTTGTGCCTGTATAGTTACAATAATGAGGATGCTTTAATATTAACAACTGGTTTGCCTCTCAGCATAATTAAAATGAAAACTTTTCAACCCAATTTTTAAACAATTACTAAAAATATAGACAACTCTGTTAATTCATGTTGTGCACTGAATGAAGATTCATTTGCATTAAACAATGTATTTCACAAGAATCATATACAGCATAGATAACAGAGTACCACTAGGCAGTAGTAAACATAACCTCTGATATTGCCTGTAATATATCTAATAACAAATATAGATCTAGACCAAGCAGTGTCACTAAAGCACATCTGTATCAATAAAGACGTTATGTAAAGTAATGTTCCCTCCTTCTAAATACACAGCTACAAGTCAATGATTGTGTTTGATTCTTTCTTTTTAATTTGAGCAACAACTAGATTGTTATTAGGATTAAGCTTCTCATCGTGTACCAGATATGTGTCTGGTATCTTATTATGCTCGAAATAATAATTAAATATAATGTATTTAAAGTGAATAGTTATCAGTAAGTGAGAAACAAATGTTCTGTTCATAGCAGCTGCTGAGCTGTGAAGCTGTGAGTTTACCTAGGAAGCACATCAGCCAAATAATATTTAGTTGTATTTTTTGGCTATATGACTATATTTAGTCATATATATTTAGTCATGACGACCAATGAAGTGGGCTAAGAACATAATTGTTATGACACTCACACTTTACTTGTGTTTCAAGTAGTGGTGAAAGAAAAAAAAACATACACTGATGAAATTTTGTTTCACTATACTGTATCAATATTCTACAGCACTGTATCGATTTTTTGCACATGCAAATATGTGGTATGTAATATGTCATGGCGTTGGTTCAATTTTTTAAAATTTATAAATATGAATCCTTCTCCTACGCTTAGTGGCCGTCTGCCACGCTGTCTCTCTCTGTCTCTTTCTCTGTCTATCTCTCTCTCTCTCTCACTGTCCCTTGCTCGGTTATTTTATGCATAAAATGTTTTCTTAATTATTATTATTTTATATTATCAATAATTTGTTTATATCTATTTCTAATAGATGGGGGATTAATAGTATTTTTTGCTGAAACGAATTAATTGGTTTTTAGTTATTTTTAAAGGGGAAATTTCAATATAAGTGGATCGAGACGAATGCTGTTGTGGAATGGATTAAACTTGTATCTTAGGGGTCCACTGTACTTGCACACATGTAAACATTAGCAACTGTTGAATGTAATGTACGAGCACTGCTGGAAAAAATAAAAAGTTGACTTTAAACAAATGACTAAACAGGAAATTTGAAACCGAATCAAATGTTCCATGCATGCATTCACAGAAGCAGTTACCGTACAATGGTCCACTGTGAAACTGAATACATGCAGTAAGGCAGCTTCAACAGCAGAGCAGCAGGATGTTATATTCGTCGCTTAGGAGTATCTGTAATCATTTTAACACAGGCATAACAGTCTCTAAATCAATATACACATAGTGATGTCAAACAAAAACTAATACTTTACTTACTTATTTAAGGTGTGGAGAGTTACTTTCTGTGTTTCTTAATTAAAATGCAGAAAAGATGCTTCTATTACTTACACTTTGGTTTTCAAATGTCAAGGGCCTCACAGGTTTACCTGTAAAATAAACCATAAAAAAAATCAGTGATAAACATATAATCTATATATTTCCTTTTAGTTACAAAATTAAATCAGAAAATGTAGACCACAAAAGCAAAGGAGCACATTAAAACTGAGGTAGGATAATGTCATGGTAAAGACAGCACTACATGGAATTTATATTGACTAATTCTCCAAATTTCATGAAAAACCAACTGTAATGTGTAAATTGTTTTAACACTTAACACTTGGTTGGTTTAACACTAAAACATGACATATGCATCTGTGTTGATTTTATCACTGTTGAGTTTGTTCTACTCTTGTTTTATATTCTGATCTCAGTTTGTTCTACTCTTGTTTTATATTCTGTGTATTCATATTACACACGCTGTACTGTATGACAAAACAAATTCATCGTAGGCACTGACAACCTTTCTGATTCTCAGATTCCTAGAGGAACCACATGCTTGATTGTTAATCCTCCTCTTGTAAGTCGCTTCGGATAAAAGCGTCTGCTAAATGCATAGATGTAAATGTGATTCTGATACTGAACCACAGGAAACAGACCAGAATCATGTCAGCTTCACAGATGAACTTCACTGAGGCTTGACTCTCCTATTTATTCTGAGGCGACGACACAGGGACTATTCCACAAGGTGCAAAGAAAGTCTACTCACATCTTTTTGGTTGTAAAAACCAAAACAAGGTTTCCATTATCAGAGGGCAGTATAAAAATGAAACGTAACATTTTCATTGCTCATGCAGCTTTTAAGCCCAGTCACACAATGACAGTTACCATTTCTGTGTGAACAAAGAGTAGTGTTGTTGCTCTATAAATGTCATCAGCGCAAAGAGTTCGTAATCGTCTTTTTGAGTGTTGGATGAGGTAACAATACCCTGCAGTCACAAGCACTGATGTTAAAAAAGGTCACTGGCCATATCAGATCCAAGTGCCACTTGTGCGTTCAAACAGGAGAGTGACAAGTCAAATTATCTAACATTTTGATGCCAATTGCTTGGCCTCTTAACACCCACTTCTGTATGAAAGTGGTGGGTGGCAAAATATTATCATCGACTCTACCAATTAAATCCTGTACAAGACAAGAAGCACCATTTCATCCATCTGGAACCTAAATGAAACCTCCTTGTGAGGTTCCAGGGTTTTTTGTGTATTTTGTTAATAGTTTTTGTATATAGTTCTGTATATAGTGTGTGTGTGGGCTTGGGCCTGACTACATTTGCACAAAGTGCTGGGTTAATATTGATGGCGCTGCGCACCTGCCAGAGATTTCCACCTCTCCTGGGCCTGTGCTTAAAACCTCCAGCTCATCGTGGACCCAGCGCCAGATTGTTCCACTAGCAGCAATCAGCTATTCTTTCTGGGTTTCCTAATAAGTTGGCCTCCTTAACTTTCAGGTATTATTAGCTATTCTGCAAGGGACATAATAGCTAATAATACCCTCATGTCAAGACTCAGGTTAGCACTAAGGGTTAGGTTTTGTTGTGTGTTGAAATGCTTGTACCACAGGAAAACGCATAGGCATGTTCATCCATTAAGCAGCAGTGTCATTATGAACGGAAAATACACAACTGGTCTTTCACTCTCACCAAGACAGAAAAGAGAATTGACACTGTCAGGCAGGCCAATGGAAAGCCACAGCTAAACACAACAACGACATGAGTTGCATAACTACTTGAGATGTCTAACCTGTCTTAATAAAACTTGAGTTGTTACTGTTCCCTTTTCATCTTATTGATTGTCCTCATTTGTTCAATCCAAGACTAATTTCAAAGCTAATATTTAAAGCTAAACCAAAATCTTTCTTTTATCTCTGAAGCATTTAAGCAATCATAATAAGGATACCAAAGGAAGCGAACAAGATCTAGTGCATTTTGTCCTACTGCATGAAAGTGATGTGGCAAATGACTTAAACCTTTTTACAGAATATGTGGACTATTAGCAATTAGACATGATGAAACTCTTAAGAAGTCCTCATCTTAGGGTAGATTTTTTTCATTTAAAAAAGGTGTGGAGTTTTGTTTTATGAAACGTTTGAGCGATGTCTTTTGTATTATATACCACTATAGATTAACTGGGCTCTAACCCCTTTGTCCTTATAAAATGTTTTAGCATCATTTTGGATAATTGCCATGATAGTTTTATTAAGTGTTGCGGTTTTAAATACTCCAATCTAGTCAACCCTCAAACCACATGTCCCAAATTAATTTACAGTAAGTTAATGAGATGTCTGTTTGCTGCCCTGGCAAGCAGCACTAACTAACCTTGAAGTCTGTAAAATCTGTAAAAAAAACTGTAAAATTGGGCTTTGCAAGAAATCAACTCTTTTAAGTAGCAATTTTAAAATTGGAAATTTGAAATAAATTTTGACCACGCTTATTTTCAAGCCTGTTGAATCAAATTACTGTACCAAACAAGACAACAGTGTAGGAACCCTAAGTGACAACATCAAGTTAAAGGAACAGGGCAAGTTTAAAAAAAAAAAGAGGAACCAAAATTATGTTCACAAGGCAAACCATTTTACATTTACAGTACAAATAAAGAAAAAATACACAAAGTATTTTTCAATATGAGGAAGGAGGATGAGAAAGTTTCAGGACCACATAAACACTTTCACTGCAGCATTCGCAATTATTCTCTCAAATAATATCGAACACGGAGGCAGATTAATAGCATTAATCTACTGTTCGTCATTCGTGTTCCTCACGTCTGCAGGAAAAAAACATTCAAGCCATTTCCATTACCATTTATTTTTATTATGTTAAGCGGATGAAAATGGATGGATGGATGGATGGATAATTTGGTCTTATTTTTTTATATATATATATATATCCCTTATATATTTATTACACTTTTTATATATCTCTTGGTTTTTTTGTAATGCTCGTGCTTATTTCCTCTGGAGAAATCTATAAAGTATAATTTTGATTAATAAAAAAGACGAGAGTTAACTGGCAAACTGTTCCTATTAACTGCTACATAGCTTCACAGTTACTATTAGTGGGTGCGGTTTTGGTGATAATACGGCTAAAGAACTAAACCGAAGATTAAAAAAAACAAGAGAATAACAACTGACTGAAGTTATAGTTTCCACACAGCCACAGTTGTATATTTTTCTTTCTTTCTTTGGTTTATTTTACTAATTGCTCGCCACATTCTCTCAAATACTTCAAGCTACCGTGTGTTTTCACATAAAACCACTAATAAAAATGTAAAAGCAAAAGAAAAGAAAAAAAACTACTTAAAAATCTTATAGACTGACTGCTGATAAGCTGCTCCAGCCGTAAGCGAAAGAAACTGCTTAAATCCAACCGAGGGACGAGTTCTACAACACGCTGAACACAAAATAAACAGCGCGAAACATGTCTAGAGAAAGAAGTGAGGTTGTTTTAAAGGTGCGGGTAAAATATTCAAAGGTGTAAACTCACAGTGGAGACAGGAAGCAGCAGCGACGGTCGTGTCCAGAGTTCGCTTCAGTCAAATGTTTGCAGTTATTTCGATGAGCGGCCAGTGAGACACAACACCGCACGTATGTCATCACAGAAAGGAATCCAGGGAGAGTGAAGGAGAGAGAGACAGATAGAGAGATAGAGAAAGAAAGAGAGAGAGAGAGAGAGAGAGAACGGCTCATTACCGTAAAGACAGAGCCCTCGTTATATACTACGCGTTAGAGGTTTACTACCGTAATATACCAAAAGCTCCGCAACGGGAATACAAGAGAAAAACATTTTCTCCTTTTGTTTATGTTATCTGCACAATAATTATATCCTCTGTAGAACTGATAAGCTCAGAAATCCAATAATGTTCAATAATTTAAACCCTTCATTACTATCAGTAATGCATTTGCAGAAGTGTGCTTGCTTTTAAGCTCCATATCACGTGTTTCCCTCGTCAACAGCATGTGTTGACAGGTAAATAATTAGCAAGAACGTCATTACAGGCCATAATATGCACAGTCTATAATAATGTGTAGTTGAAGCAGATTGTACTGAGCCAAGTCAGAATGAAAATTGGGCATGTATGATGTATATTGTTAATATGACATATCCAGCTGCTGTTGTCATGAATAAACTTTTGATATCTAGCAACATCATTTGCAATGTACTGTCTTCTCTGGTGTAAAAGAAATACAATTGGAAAATAAATCCCATTGCTGGCAATGGCGAGTACTCAAAGAGTGCAGCGAACAGTTGCATAATATTATTTGTTATTTTTTAATAAAAATGGTTTTGATCGGGATACAGAGGCTTTTAAAATTCCTTCTGTTTACAACATGGACACAGGTACCTCGTATAGACTCTATTGTTTTTGAAACAATTGAATTTATTGATTTTGCCAGTCCTGTATTCAGCAGTCAAATACCCACAGTACATAAGCATTTTGTATTCCACTGTCTATTTCTTCTCTACAGGGGATTATAATCCGTGTGATTAACCTCATGTCATGTTGAAGGATATACAATTGTTGTGAGTCACAAAAATAAACCACTGGAGAAAATATAGGTGTTGAATATTGTATGTAAACAGCGTTGGGGGAAAAAAAGCCTAAAAGGATTTGTATCTGATTTAACTCCACTAATGTAACACATTGAATGTGTTTCTCCACACCACATTTTTGACTACCTTGAGATTTAAAAGAAAATCACAAACACAAAGACAGTGTATAACGCCTGTGTATAGATTTTACAGTCCTTAGTCCTTAGACTTAAAAAAGACCCCGCAGGTTTATTTTTTCCTGATTGCCACTGGAAGAGAACCAAGAATATTCATGAAGGTGCTAATAAAAGCAGCACCCTCCTTTAGCACAGAGGTGCTGAATAAGTGTTGCAGCAAGGTCCTCAAGGGTTATGCTGGTGAAAGCAGAATAAAATGGAAGAGGATGGTGATGGAGTACTGAAGCAACAGAATATACATACAGTAAACTAGCCTTAATGACAACATGTGTAATTCCCCAGCCTGGGATCAATAAAGTACATCTATCTATATATCATATACACATTACCATGTATTACCATGTAAACTGTCTCAGTCGTTTGATTTAATTTTTCTAATGTGATCTCTACCGTTTATACTTTAAATAATCAGCTTTCAACAAGGAAATTCCCTGATCCCAGTATCACCTCTGCATGTGAAAAAGTAGAGAAATATTTTTATTTGCATCAGCATAACCTGATGAACATGACTTAATGGAATAATATTTATCAATTAATTAGTGCTTTACTAAAACAAATACATTTCAGTGTCTCATATGCTAAGTTTCACATTCCCACCGTCCACATCGTTTTTTTCCCCTACAGTTTCCCCTTGATGCTACAGCTATACACTTATTTCCACTATAGTATGTGTGCATATGCTGTATCTACCATACTGTACTCAATAACGTGTGTAAAACGATACCATACACATCAATACATACTGTAGAATAATACAGTATAGAACAGACAGTTGAAAAACTATAGCAAGAAAACCATGTTTTGAAAAATCCCTGCTCAAATGAATGACATGTGGTGATCGACATTTATTTCAAATCTATTTTAATGTTTTGGGCAGTGGTGGCGCAGTGGTCCGGAGGGTTTTAGGTTCGAGTCCACCACCTGCCAAGTTACCACTGAGGTGCTCTGAGTATGGCACCGTCTCCACACACTGCTCCTCAGGCAGATTAAACTGCCCCCTGCTGACTTTGGTGATGGGTTAAAAGCAGAGGTCACATTTCATTGTGTGTGCAGTGGTGTGCCGTGTCACAATGACAAATAATTCACTTTCACTTAAAAGACTTGCTGGAATATTTCCAGCAGAAGATAAGGCTCCAGTGTGGTGGCATAAATGGTTAAAGATGGTAAAGATATCCCTTTTTTCCCTGTTTATTAAACCCCCTATTGTAATCTATTTTTAGTCCTGCACACTGAGAAACATCTACAGGGGAGAAATGAACAAGACAAGACAGAGAGACGGGTATGTGGGAGGGACGTGCTCTCTGTCTTCTCCCACACTCAAGACTGTCAAACATATCACTCTTGCCTGCTGCAAACCTGCTGTGACCAATCATCACCAGTTCCATTAGCAATCGCCAAACCGACAATGGACTCTGCAAATGTTTTATATACCCACAGGGCCCAGTGTTAACACAGCATGCAGCCTATACTGGTAGCTAGTGTCAGGTCACCGGCTCCAGCACTGGACCATGATGACACCGAGGACATGCTATCAGCTCAGTTACAGACGTCCTAACACTTCAGTCAATCATGCTAAGCAGATATGCAGCCACTGGTCTTCAGTTCCCCCTGCTGAGCTTAATCTCACTTCAAGTGTCAGAATTCTAGGTTGTTGTTTTTTTTAACCACCTCGTTTCTGTAACATATGATAATCTTGCATCTTTAAAATTCATTAATCCCCCGTAAAAGTATTTTCGTCTTAATCCTCTAATGTCTCCAGAAAGCATGGTGTTTTCAAGTGAGAGTCGTGCTTTTCTTTTTTCTTTTTTTTTAACAAATACATGATGTAGGATTGCTGCCCGCAGGCTGAGGAAACTGAAACCAGTCCCTACACTAAGGACACTGTGGGGAATTGATGAGGACACCCACTTCCTGCAAACCGGCCACAGTCATTATCCATACTGCGCAATAATAATGCGTCAATAATGATACTGGAAGACTGGAAGGACAAAGTGTCGGCGTTAAATCTTTGAACAAATCAGAACCTCACACAAACCCTAGGCCATCTGATTCTGTATTTTTCATTAGCAATTGATAACATTCAAATCAATAAAAATCTGAATATGCATTTCCTCTTTAATAAAGCAACACATGTTGGTTTGGAATGTAATTTTAGTCACGAGGCTTGAGTTCAGGGAATAAATGAAATACTGTTCGTGCTTAATGTATTTAAACTACAAATATTGCTGCAGACATCACTGTTTGGGTTTAAGCTCTTCCTCTGGCATGCTGCGGCTGATTACCTTGAGATCTTAAATGTTCTACAGTTGGATACCAACCAGTGAGCTGATAAGCAGGCCTTTTCACATCACATCTTTGATGTGACTAAGGAAATGTTTCCCAGTGCCTTGACAAAAACGACACTACTTACTGTGAACTGAATGCACTGCAACAAACTCCAGTCACTAAAACCTGAGATATCTTCCTGCCTGGACCTGCCTTCGTCTTGTCACACTCACAAAATTCTCTCTCAAAATTCTTTGTGAATGACACAGAGAAAATGGTAAAAGTGTCCTGCTACAAGTCTTTATTTGAAGTCAGCTAGATGTATTATTAAAAAAAGCCAGCCTCTGTTGAATATATTTGATGGTTGCAAGAGACTCTTTGTTACGGCGTTGTTTAATAACCAAGGCCATCAGGAACCAGCTTCTGAAAACATTCATTATTCTGAATCAAACTGCACAGAGTCCTCAGATGATGACACACAGCGATACTGAAACCGTGACTGTTTCTGTTGGACAGGTGTGTGTTATTCAGGGTATCGACTTCATGTACCGTCACTCAGTAAACATCTGTCCACATTAACACTGCACGCCTGCCAACTGCAGTTGTTATCCATCAGGAGTTACGAATGTCCTGGAATGTGTTGCCTGGAGTCACGGTGACCATGAGTGGCAGCTTCATGATGAGCAGCACTCAGCTGTTGCTCTTGTTTTGATGTTGATTTTGTTGAGTTGAGAAGCTCCCCTGGGGCTTCAGCTTCAGCTCAACTGTTGCATAAAAGGTAAGAGGCAAAGGTCAAAAAGTGCAGACAGTCTCCCTCTCTCCCCCTCTCTCTCTCGCTCTCTGAGCTCCAGTCTGTGAATCTGTTCGTAGGCTCACAGGCCTGACCACCTGCCTCCTCAACAAAACCAAACCCAGTTAATCATCCCCTGGCTTATCCTTACCTTTGGAATGAATGATTATTAGAATTTGGAAACCCACTTTCCCATTAATAATCAGGAGCAAAAACCTCAGCGGGTTTCCTCTTTTTGTTTGTTTTTTGAAAAAATGCAAGCAAACAGTTCAATTGTGCATTGACAGATTGCACTGTTACATTTGTAAACATTAGGTGAATAGAAGTAGCCTGTTTATACTAACCAACACTCTGAAGGGCTGCCTTGCTGAGCTGCTAACAACTAAATATTTAGCACTTAAGCTGCTCTTCTACAGAAACAACTGTGTTCTTTCTTTCAAGTCTAATTAAAATGTTCCTCTTTGCTGCCACCAAGCTCCATGAGTCTGGCCTTTGTTTGATCCAGGAGGAAATGATTAATCCAAACATCAGTATAATATGAATTTTCTAGCCCAGAGCTTGGACCACACGACTTGGTGGATTATAATAAAGCCACATTTTATTTGTTTTGTTTTGATGTATGATATGAGCAACTAATGTCCCAAAGGTATATATATATATATAGAAGGAATTAAGAAAATACCAAAGGACATGGGAGATTCAATGTGGGACTCAGCTGGTGGAATTGCAAATAACATCATTACGAAACACATTCATTCTAATCAATTCAAGTTCTAAAGCAGTGTTGAGTCATCAGGTGAGTGCATCCTCTGGATGCTCCCTGAAACACAGCGATGGTTTGAACGTCTAAACCGATAAATGCAAATGTGATCGATCC